AACAATTCAAACAATCCTTAAGCGTCAAGAGTCCAATTCTTTTGTTGCCTTCCACCTCCACCACAAACTGCTGACAAGACTTCCTAATGGTCTCTCAAAAGTAGGAAAGAAAAAATCTCTGAGAATAACAAGCCCCTAATTTGAGTTTGCCACACTCCTGTGAGACACAGCTCTGCAGGTTCCACGTGAAACTGCCATCTGCATTTGCAATACTCCACTTCCAGGCTGTATTTTATCAGAACTGTGATGGAAAGGGTAGATTAAAAATACAAAAGGTTACTTATGGACACCTTAACACCAGAACAAGTGAAAAATGGAATGGCAGCAGAGATCGGCTGCCTTTCACTGCTCTTTTGAAAGTGAAGACACCCAAGCTCAGAAATGGCTGTAGCAGAGGTGGAGGTGACGCACCCTGGCTCCAGCTTTGAGCTCTGACTCTGCCCTGCCAGAAGGCCCCAGCTCCAGTTCCAATCAGGCTAGCGAGCTCCCCGTGACAGCACGTCATTTCAAGGCACGCTGCCAGGTATGAGAACACGTTACAACGCCCATCCATGTATTGCTATCAAAACTACAAAAATCATCCTTAAATGACAATTACATCAGGGTATTTACAACTTGATGTTTGGCAAAATTACAGCCATGCCATTTGTAACAGGCACAATGACCTAATTTATGAAATATTTTTTTTTAAATTCCTTAAAATCAGAAGCAAGTTGGCACCCAGCCTCAGAACGAAGTGTCCCCAAGTACAGTCTCCAGGCCAAACAAGAGCTACTACCTGTGTAAATGTGTGCCAGCAGGAGCCCACTGCTCACTCACAAAGATGTAGCTTCAGAAAAGGTGACCAAGAGTCCGCACACGCATCGCTCAGTAGCGTAAACTGACACAGCGCGCACAGCACAAACGCTACTTGTATTTGCATCACTGTCAAGCCCTCTCATCCAAAAGAAAGATTTCTTTCAAAAACATATAGTATTTTTACCTATAACGATTTTCTATACGTAATTTTTTATATTTTTCATATATAAAAAAGAAAAATCAGCTGCCAGGGATTCCAATCTTGCAGCCATCTTCTCTCAGCAGACTTTAAAAGCTTCTCATGTTCTACCACGTTCAGCATTCCCTTAGAATGAAAGACACAGATACAACAGTCAAAAACACTGGTTTATTTCTTTAAGAAAGCTAACATAATAAACAAAGACCTTGTGATTTTATAATGAAAGCAAGTTTCTCGCACCCATACAATCAATTCCACGGTGTTATCAGCAGCACGTGAAGATTCACTGCAGGAAAAAATATAGGAGGTTATGCTGTACACAGCGCATAAATGCAAATTTGGGACACACCGAGGTATAGGTTTTTCATCCCTCATAGCAAAATGTAAAACACACCACTTTAATCCCATCTTCCCAGAAATTAATAAAAATAGAGCTAGACAACAGCTAGTTCTTCTTGGTCAGCAAGAGAACCAACTTTGATAGGAACTTGGGTAGGTTTTGCAGCCAAGTGTCATGCATTTACCTAGCAAGCCTGGATCTTTCTGGACTTGCAGAATGTTGCCCCTGAAACCTGAAAGGAAAATTCAGTACTCTCGTTAGCACATCCACCCAGCACCACCAGCACCACGCACGCTACAGCAGCACAAGCAACTCACCGTACCGACGCAGGGCACTCACAGCACCTTGATGTGCATCTGCTCCCTGTGCATTCCCGTCAGCTGTGTGAGAAGACGAGAAGTACCTTCATGGGAACACCATCCCCAGGACAACAATTCTGACAGTATCAGCCACCAGTGCTACTGTTTGTATCACTCATTTTAGCTCTGCAAAGAAAAGAGAGACTGTAAGTAAAAAGAGTAACAATCATCTACTGTCGTGTTCTTTGCCCCTTTCCAGAATTTCCCCAAAACAGCGACAGAGCACGTGTCAGGCAACGGGTCACAAAGGTCCAGACACAAAAAGCCCCAAAGGAATAAAAGCAAAATTCACAAGCAAACACTGAACTCACCGGCCTTCCAGCATCACTTCGGCGGCCGGTGCAACGTTTCGGTACAGATCGTCTTCCCGAAGCCAGCTGCTGCGGACGCGTCTGCTCCAGGCTGCGTGGAGATCCCCGTTCCCCTGCAGAGCCCCAGCCCGACGCGGGTGCCTGCTCTGCTTTCACCGAACCAGCTGCCTGTGCCTCCAGCACGGCTGGGGCTGCTGCTGAAGACCGACCGACTTCCAGTGTAAGCTGACTGCCAACTCACTGCTTCAGAAACAGGACAAAAGCAGTGCTTTTACCAGGAAATCGTTGTATTGGGTTATGCAAAAGCCATCAGAAACTTGGACAACCATCTTTCACATGACTCACATGCCCGGATTCAGCACTGTGCTTGATTCCATTCATGGCAATTGTAGGTGGCTGGCGTTACAAGTGGTTATTTCCCATATTGCATCCATATCTTCTCTGGAGCAGGGTACCTGCACACCTGATGTCAAAGTGGAAAGCTGTGTTCTTAGACACTTGGCTGCACACCGGCTTCCACCCGTTCCGTGTTCGTGCTGTTCTGTTACCCTGTCCTTGTGCCAGACCATTGCCTGGGCCGAGGCAGCAGCTCAGGTCCTGGCTACAGCACCACATCCATCAGGAGATGGGACATGGTTGTGTGACAGCAAGCGTAAGCCGCGGGCTGCTCTGCAGCCAAAGAGCAGAAACGTGACCACCACCAGTCCCAAAGCTGTAACACCAACCAACGCAGGTCCAGCCTATTCCTGTAAAGCTGGCTCTTCGTGTCTGCGTTCCAGACACTATACAGAAAACTTGAACATTTTGCAGTTACAGAACACAAAGAATTGCCTTTCAGATGCGTGTAATAAGAAACACGTTACTGAGCCACACATTGTAACGAAAATTCTTAAGACCATTATCCAGGGGAAAAGAATCCTCATTTTGAGAGTTTTTCAGTCTTAACGAGGGACTGAGAAAGAGGAGGTGTACAGAGACACGTCAGGCTGCGTGGCGGGAGCAGTACCTGTGTACCCGAATCAAGAGCGGTGGATCCGACTGCCCCACACCAAGATTACCCATGGAAGGAAAACCACACAGCTTAGCTCGAACTCAAGGATGCCTTTGTGAAGCTACAGAGCTACCGGTACAAGACACTACTTCATTCAGAGCATTCTCAAGACACTGTCATTCAGTTGTACGACTCACAACTCACTTTTTTATAACACAGGTTGCACAGCACTTCCATTCTACTGCAGATGAATAGCAGTCACCACTTCTTCCCGAGGCAGACGCAGCACGCCGGGACAGGATGAACCAGACACACAACATGGCCCCTCTCCACAACAGCGATGGAACTTGCTCGCTGGAAAGAGGGTCAGGCCCTGGAACAGGCTGCCTGGGGAGGTTCTGCACTCTCCTTCCTTGGAGGTTTTCAAGACCAGCCCAGACAAAGACGTGAGCAACTTGGTCTGACCCCAGAGCTGACCACGTCTTGCGAGGGTTAGACTAGAGACCTCCTGAGGTCCCTCCCATCCTGAGTTATTCTTGAATTATGCCTTGAAATATAAGCACAAATTACTAATCTACTTAGTGACTGTTTAAACAACGCTGTCACCAGAGAGGAAGGGTGTCCTCTGACTCTCACCTTTCCACCTTGCACACACAACTGGAAAAAAGAAAAATTCCAGGTCCTTGCTACAACCACAATTGAAAGACACCGGCATAGCAAGCCCCATTCTCAGTCAAAATCTCTGTAAACCTGAATACAGTTCTGCCAGCAGTTTTCTCGCACATTAAAATCAACTTGCTGTACTGGTAAAAGGCTGCAGGTATGAAATTTTGAATCAAACACTAAGAATAGAAATTCTATAATGAACTGCAAAAAACCCACCCAACCAGGATGTTGTGCACTCTGAAAAGAGCAGAGTCCACCACCACACCTGCTGCTTGTGTAGTCCGGCCCACAGGAGGGGTGAACTTCAACGATAAAGACTCATTTTGCTTACTTTATGTGCATAAATTACTTCAGACAGCAGCGTCACAAGTTCAAATTCAGGAAAGGCATATCTTTAAATCACACTGAAACGAACGAAACCGGGGCACAAATTTAAAGCATATTCTTCAACGCTTTCTAGAACAGGAGAAAGCAGCTCTGCTGTACCAAGTTCTTACCAGCCTGTCACGCAAGCTACTGTCATTTTGTACTTCACTGCACACAGAAATCCCACATAGGCTTTTATAATACAGAAGGTTCTTCAAAAATACACCTACCTTTGTGTACTGTATCTTAAAACACGCCGTTAATTTCCATTTTGCTTACCACATTCAACTTGGTAGCACAGCCAGCTGAACTACCTGTGGCTCTCCTGAAACAGGGAACAGATCTCGAAAGTGCCGACCCAGTCTGCCTCACAACGCCAAATCACGCACGCTCACAACGCTGTCTTTACAAAAGTGATCACCAATTATTTGTTCCCTCACTCAGATTCCCTAAAGATTTTTCAGCCCAAAGGCATCTGAAATTTTAATTCACAACACAGGTTTCATCGGCGTAGGAGGTCTGACAGAGACACCAGCTACGCAACCAGAATGTAGGACAGACTGCGTGGCGCGGGTTGGAAGTTCACCTGCACACGGGGGTCAGAAGCAACCCCACAACCCACCTGCTGCCA